GGATGGGAAAAATATTGGGAGGGAACGAGATTGAGGGGGTGAGAGGAGGGCGTTCTACAAGGGTGAGAACGGGACGGAGACGTTTCAAAACGGGCAGGAACTAAGGGTTGAGCTTTGCGAGGGTGAGAGCAGTCGGGGCCGGAGACATGACTTACGTGGTCTTGAGAGGGGTCGGGGTCTGATGAGTTGTGAGGTTGGTGTTTATACGAGGGTGACAGCATGGTGGAGACGCATCAAGAAGGGCAGAAACAAAGACTCAGAGGTTGATCACCGCGACGGTATGACCAGGCGGGGGCGAGGACGGGTGCTGAGGGACGACCGCCCACAACGCTGCGCTGCTGTCCGTTCCAGAACACCCGGAGATTCCCCGGCGCGGTGGCAAGATCAACGGGCTCGAGAAGTTCGACGCCAGTTTCTTCAGCGTCCACTTCAAGCAGGCACACACCTTGGATCCCATGTGCCGTCTTTTGTTGGAGCGCTCCTACGAAGCCATCGTGGACGCCGGTGAGTTGATGTTCAGCCCTTGTAGATATTGCTATACTCTGCTTATGCTCACTATGTGCTGAAAACAGAACATATATACTAATAGTACAACTCATTGCAGGAGTGAATCCGCGAACTCTGCGTGGCAGCCGCATGGGTGTGTTTGTGGGCACGTGCTACTCGGAATCGGAGAAGTTCTGGTTTTACGAAAAGCTCCAGCTCTCAGGCTTCGGCCTCACAGGTTGCAGCCGCGCCATGCTGGCTAACCGGATCTCATACTGGTTAGGAGCTAAAGGTGAGTGCGCTAAAACGTTGATTGGTAGCATGCCCTTCGGTATTCTCAACAGAAAATCCCTACTTAATGCATTTCGGTTGCAACCAAATCCGTATGATAGCATGAGTCCTTTACTGCAACTTTTACTTCCTTAGAAGAATAAAAAGATAATACTTTTAAATGAAAGTATGGGGTAATAAACTTCTAAAAGCAAATATAACATGAAAAGTCGCGACGGGGATCTTGATTTGACCTAGAGCAACATATCAGAACAAACAAAAGTCTACGTACGTACAACTTGACGTTATCTACTGATAGAATATCTTCAATGAACAATTTAGTTTTGCAGAAAAATACAAATATGAGTTATGACCAATTCTACTGATCAATTTACTTTTTAAACATAACAAACATAAATATCACCATAAAAAATTAACACTGATATATTAAAATTGAAGAAATACGATATTTATGATTACGCTATTTACAATCCTACAAAATTTATAACATTTCAAATATTTATGACGTGTTATTTAAATGATTCATTTACATGTTTCTGTTTAAATTTCCTCCAATTATTTTTTTCCTTAGTGAAACAAGAAAATCACCACAAAATAATAATAATAAAAGAAAGAACGCTGCGGTTTAACTAAATGTTCACATTCTTTCCTTATTCAAATATACAGATTTCTTAGAGTTGCAGAAAACTATTATAAGAACTCATTCAAATAACCTTTCTTCAAATAAGTTCTTTTTCTTTTGAAATTCTAATATGTCCTCATTTTTTAAAAAATCTTCTCGTTATTCTACACTCTATATTTCTATAACTCCTGTTTTCTTTCCGATATAACCAACTGATGCAGGACCCAGGCATACTCGCCGACGTTCGTTTCCTCCCGCAACTTTTCTCAATTCAAGATTTCATTTTTTAAATTTATTTGTTTCAAGATCGATACCGAGTTACATTACACTTAACTATACGTGGAAATTTTATAATAACATATTTTCTTTCTGTATGAGGAAATCTCCTGATGCACGTCGCAGATAATATGGTAATTGTTAAAATAAAGTTATAATTCGGTGATTTTTTTCAATTGTTTGAGGAAAGTTATTTAAGTATTTATTTTTCTATTATTTTCATTATGGTAACCGAAATTTACCTTTGGGAATTTGGATTTAATTCTGGTTATATTAGTGGTGATTCCTAATTGAAAGTGTGTGGATAATGGTAAACCAGGTATTTTGTTATAAAATGCTAATGATATTGTTTTATGTAGTCTTGCAGGTGGGAAATATTTAATTCGTAGTGGATTTGATCATTAGAGATAGATCAAATGGATTTTAAGATACGTAGTTAGAGTTTTACTTTGAATGGTCTGCAATTTTTGAATGTTCGATTTGGCCGCTCCATATGGGAGGAGTACAGCACAGACGGTCTTACAATTGATTGTGATAATTGATAAGTGGTGAGTGATGTTTTTATTTGTAAAGAAGATATAAGGTTTAAAAGTGGATATAATTTTGAAAGTTTCTTTTTTTACAGTTTGCGAGATTTTTTGATATGTGATTTCCACTTTAATTTTGTGTCGATGGAGACGCCTCTATACATGATAGGTGATTTTAGACCAACCCACGGGATTGTTTCACCATTCACATTTAACGAAGGAAGATTAGGTTGATTCTTGAGTTAAAATATTTTTAGATAAGATTTCGCTCGGTTTAATTTCATTTTCCATTTCTCTAACCAATCTGTGAAATGGGACATATCTTCCGTTAGTCTTCCAATATCGTCGTAAATGTTTTAGAAAAGGGTTGTGTCATCGGTGAGAAAAGCTATTTGAGAGTGGGATAATTGCGGGAAGTTATTAGTAAATATAGTGAATAATACGGCGAGATAGTGAGGACTCCTGAGAGACTCCTACAGTAATTTTTGACTGAGAAGATTTCACATTGTTGACCCATACTGAAAAGGTTCTGTCCGATAGAAAATTTATTTTTAAATTTCGTAGGTCTAGCGATGTTCATAGTATTCTTTATTTGTAGATTAGACCTGTATGCCATATGTAGTCAAATGCTCTAGCGACGACTGCAGTCAAATGCTTAGCTACAAATAACCCTATGTGTATGTTTTCTTTTCAAATGAATCTGCGATAAATTCCAAAAGACGGAGAATCTGATAGACGCTTGAATAGTATTTTCGGAATCCAAATTAAGTAGCTGAAATACCATTAACTGTTGATATAAATTTAATTAACCATTTAACAGAATTTTTCGAAAACCTTACTAAAATTTGGTAAAAGGGATTTGGATCTGAAGTTACTTGTGATTGAATGGTCTTTTCCTGGTTTTGCTATAGTTGTTATGAGAATTTTTTCCACGAGTTCCAAAGTATCCTACTCTTAGAATTCCGGTAAATAAAGCTGTTAAATAAATACTCGCCAATATGGGTAACTCTTTTAGAACCTTATTAGGTAATAGATCATTCCCGGTAGTGTAAGTTAGTCGTATATTTTTTTATTTCGATTTCTATCTCATTGGGCATAATTAATTAGGCCTGTTATTCATGAAGTCAGAACAGACTTAATAATTTCATTCTTAATGAAATTCGTGAAGTTGCTGTCAACACTTGAATGAGGTTTGGATGTATCTGATAAATGTATTGCAAGAAAGTTTTCTTAATCTATTATTTTACTATTATTCTATTTGTTATTTTATTTTTATTCTTATTATTTTAATTATTATGTATTTATTATATTAGTTTTTGTATCGTCGTGGGCTATTTCAGGAATGTCTGGGATACGTATTTGGCAATTTCAAGGGGTTGGTTGTGAATGTTTGGATGGTGGTTCTACATGTTCCCTGTGAAAATCGTTTACTACTGAGTGTAGTTCTCCACTATGAGCCCTGGTAGGGGGTGGGGTTCAGTTAGTTTTTTGTAGAACGGGCATTCGCCTGAGCGGACGTTTGCACGATGTTATCCATTGCAGTTCTTACAAATAAGGGTGAGCATTTTGTATGAACAATTCATCGAAAATGATCTTTTGAGCAGTAGATACTGGCTATAGTGTGGTTACAGTTATTGCGGGTATAACCAAAGTCTAAACAAATTAGGAATTGTATTGGTTCCTTGATTCTACGTTTTTTTCAGGTTTCACTTTTAAGTTGCAAATTTACAATGTCTATGCTGTGTTGCCCGTCAAACTCGGTAGCTACCACTGGAATAGGAATGTTGTCTTTGTGCAGTCTGTAATACTGATTAGCGAACGGCACTTTTCTTTGACATCCTCGAATATTTCCTGTATTGATAAAGATTGGTGAACATTTTTGAAAACTATGGAGATTTGGAGAGTTGTGAAAATTTATTTTAGTATTTAATAAACATTTAATTGTTTTTCTGAAGTAGGTTAATGTTACTGGCCATGAGTTAGTGCACTCCCCCTAAGTATTTGGGTTTGGTCCAGCGAAGCGACTTGGGATGGTCGGATCATATTAACAATATGGTCAAAAAACCCTGGAGGGCGCTGCGCTTTGTAAAACATATTTAAAAAATAGTAGTCCAAATACAACAAGGAATAATGAAAACAAGATGTGGAAAATGAGATAAAGGAAGTTGCAATGTGTGCTCGCGGACAGCGAGAAATCGTGAAAAATGGAAGTGTCTTGAACGTGTGTATAGAAACGCTAGTGCTTCAAAACGGAACATGTAGAGTAAATTCGATGTGAAGCATATTAACAAATGGTAGAAATCAGAATAATAGCACAACAGAAACGTTATATGAGACAATAACAAAAGTGTATGTGAAAAGAGACAGATACAGCAGTGGAAAGTGTAAGGCGGAGAAAATGAAGACAAAGATGAAGTTCAGTATGATCAGATGTATAGTTTTCCAGATTAATTCCATTATCAATTCTATAGTTGCGCAGGAATGAGTTACAGCAGAGACAAAAGTGTAACCTTGAAAACGTCGTCTAGTATAAATAATTGTAAGACTCACAAACGTTTTTCAGTTTTGGGAATATCACTAAGAGGCATCCTCCCTAAGGAGAGGCCGTTGCCCACATAGAGATTCTCGGGCTTTATTATTTCTTAATTATTATAATCCGCAAACATTAGTTGAAATTAGGCCGATTCTTTTCTCACTTAAAAACTATTTAAATGTATATGAAAGAAAAGATTTTTAAAATAGCGTATGATCATTTTATTAACGTTATTTAGTTAGTTAATTAGCGATCGAGTTAGTTCCTTATCCTTCTCATACTGGAGAGGTACTCTGGGGTGTTCTTCTCTAACAGAGCCTTGATAATCTCCTCCCATTTGGCCGCGTTAAAAGTGTTCCTGCGCTGCGAGGGCACAGAATTATTTTTTGCTCCCTCTTTGACTCTCTGGCCATTTCTACGGGTGTTTTGATGGCGTCGTCTGTTGATCTACCTTTTTGTTTCCGGCAGACCGCGTGTTTTCTATAGCCATGTCTGCAGTTTTTGCAGTATCAGGCCCTCGAATATCTTTCTCAACGTGTCTAGTAGGCAGATTTGTCTGTAAAATGTGGGCTCGTGTTGTGGTTTGTTGCATTTTAAGAAGAGACCAAGATTCTTCTTTTTTCCCTCCCCTCGGAAAAACTCAAGCCTCTATTATATGCTTTCAGGAGAAGTTCGGGGTGGATCTTTGCCACTGTCTTCAGAATTTCTTTGTGTATCCCGTCGAGTCCTGGTGCATTTTTGTTCTTAAGGGTACTGCATACTTTCTATAGTTCTTTTGGGGTAAAAACTTCGTCTGTAATTTTACAGGGCTGGCATTTTTCTATCAAAGATTTCTGAGGCGATGAAAACATGATTTGGATTACCCATGTAGAGTCATCCTTTCCGGGAGTTGTCCGCCTGCAATTTAGTTTTGTTGTGACAATTTGGAGCGGTTTTCCCCATGGGTCGTTGTTTATTTCCTTTAATAGCTCCAGCAGTGTTTTTTACTATTGTTGATAACGTGTTTTAGGTCCTTTCGGCATTGTCGGCATTTTTCTTCTTGA